CCTGAGAATAACAGTACCCCCCATGTACAGGTTTTATGGTGTTTTGGAAAGTTAGAGAGTCACATATAAGGCTTGCATTTCATTTTTTTTACATTGAAATTTGCCAGATTGGTTATGTTGCCTTTGAGAGCGTATGGTAGCCCAGGAATGAGAATTACCCCATGATGGCATACCATTTGCAAAAGTAGACAACCCAAGGTATTGCAAGTGGGGTATGTCCAGTCTTTCTTAGTAGCCACTTAGTCACAAACACTGGCCAAATATTTGTTTTTTTGCTTTTTTCACACAAAAACAAATATGAACGCTAACTTTGGCCAGTGTTTGTGACTAAGTGGCTACTAAAAAAGACTAAACATACCCCACTTTCAATACCTTGGGTTGTCTTCTTTTTCAAATGGTATGCCATTATGGGGGTAATTCTCATTCCTGGGCTACCACGCCATCTCAAAGGTAACATTACTAATCTGGCAAATTTCAATGTGAAAATAGAACGTTCTATATTTGACCCTGTAACTTTCCAAAACACCATAAAACCTGTTAATGGGGGGTACTGTTGTACTCCTGAGACATCACTGATTACAAATATGTGCATTTTTTGCAGTAAAACTAACAGTATTATGACATTAACAGCTAAAATGGAAATTCTAATTTAAAAAAAAATCTTATTTTCTCACTTTTTTAAAATTTTATTCATAATAAATTATGTTCCATATATGAATAGTTAATGATAAATTAAAGCCCTGTTTCTCCTGAACAAAATTATATATAATAAGTGTGGGTGCACTTATGTGACAGTGGTGAATTACGGTTGAACAGACATATAGCGCAAATTCCAGTTTTTGTTTACGTTTTGTTTTGATCAGAACATGCACTATTGACTCCGTCCTGAAGGGGTTAAAAGACATACAAGGAAGTCAGTTCAGGAAAATCTCTGTTTAATAAACAGAACAAGGTTTTGTGACAATACACAATAAGGGAGCCTAGCGGAGTATCATCACGTACCAATCAAATATGGATAACTATTAAATGAAAAGATAGATACACGGTGTAATAGATCTCAACTACTCAAACTAGCAGCTACATACGTTTCACAAGCGTCTGAAAATGAGTGTTAGCTCAAAAAAAGAAAAAAAGTATGTGCGCTCAAAATTAGATACTTTAAAAAATATATTATATATTTATTGAGATAAGACTCATATAAAATAAATATAATCAGAATAAATCTAAACAAACAATAAATGAATATAAAAACATGAACCCACTGTTCTACACGAATGAACTCTAAATTATAGATACATAGTATAAGAAAAAATATCAAAACAGCTGCCTAAAGAGTAATACAAATTGTGTAAAAAGAAACAACACAAAATATATATATACAAAATAATAATAAATAAAGAAAAATAGTACCTGCCTCAGTGTGAGCCCCCCACCGAGGTATATGTATGAAGATGGGTACTTCAAACAGAAAAAACAAATGAAAAATAAAAAATAAATAAATATAAGTAAGTAAGAGTTCTGAGCAGCGGACCTCCATCAGATGCCGATGAAAAACACTGCGGTCAGGATCTTCAAAAAAGACCGCGGTGTAGTGGTAACAGACCGCCCGCCGATACAACTAGTAAAAAACAAACAGACTGTGAGCTTATACCGCGGTCGGTATCTTCAAAAAAGACCGCAGTATAAATAGATAAAACAGCGGTCAGTATATCTGAGGATCCTTACTATTAACTAACATCATGAACAATCTCATGCATATATCATTGGGAAAAGCATTTAGCAAATCATTGATGTAAAATTTATCTGGGGACTGACACAGACTGTATGAAAAAAAAATGGTTTCATTTTCAATCACATGTTATCTTACTTTAAAAGTTTGTAACTCCTCCTCTGTAAATTGAACTCTAATCACACACAGGAGGCTTCTGCAAGGTCTATCATGCTTTTAACAGAGCAGGAGATAAAGAAATTCTAAATGAAACTAAATTGGCAATAAACAAAGTGTAAACATTAGATGACTCTTTATAGGAAGTGTTTAGGAATGACTTAAAAACATTTTCTGAGATTATAATGTATATGTATAAACAGTGTCTCTAATGTCCGGAAATCTTTCTCAGTGCTATCCTAATGTCTTGGTTTCTTAGACTGTATACAAAAGGGTTAAATAAAGGGGTAAACACAGTATGCAGCAATGATATAATCTTATTTAAAAGCAATGCATGAGCTATAGATGGTATCATATACTTTATTATTAATGTCCCATAGAATGCACCAACCACGAGAAGGTGAGAACTGCAGGTTGAAAAGGTTTTCTGTCTTCCGGTTGTAGAAGGGATCCTAAGTATCATGAGGAAGATATGAATATAAGTCACTATGATAAGACCACAAGGACAAATAAATAAAGGAGTAGAAAATAAAAAGGCAAGAAACTCCACCAGAGACGTGTCTGAACATGAAAGTTTTTGGAGAGGGGAAAATTCACAATATATATGGTCAATTATGTTTCCATTACAGAACTGAAAGTTGGATATAGGTATGATACCTATTAGGTTCATGGTAAATCCTAACATCCAGGGCAAGACAGACAGACAGGTGCACAAGGTAAGGTCCATGATAGTGATGTAACGCAATGGGACACATATAGCCAGGTATCGATCGTAGGACATCACTGCGAGCAGGAAGCATTCTGTAATAATTATACCACTAATGAAATAGAATTGAGTTATACAGCCAAAAATTGTCATTCTTTTCCCATCATGTAAGATTGCTTCCATCAGGTTAGGTAAAGTATTTGTTGTGAGAACAATATCAGACAGTGATAGATGGCAAAGGAAGAAGTACATGGGAGAATGAAGGTGATGGCTGATTGAAACTAACAGAATGATCAGAATATTTCCAGTTACTGTGATAAGGAAAATGTTCAGGAATATGATGAAAATTAAATTGTTGAAGCCATAAAGATTTCGAAAGCCTAGAAGTATGAGTTCTGTTACTCTTGATTCATTCTTTACATTCATAGTCTAATCAAGGTTCTTCACTGCATGTAGATGTGACACTTTAGAATCTAAAAATTCTAAAAACATGTAAATTTTTTAATTTACAGAAGGTACAGCAACAGTTTAAGTGACATAACTAAAAGTTATTCATTCTCTAATTGAAACTAAATCAAAAGTGTATGTTTTTCTAATTTCTGATGTTTTTCCTACGGTGGACCTCCAGCTTCTTTTCTCTTGGTGTAGTTGGCACTGGTCTTTAGATGTTCTTATCTTACCTTTTTATTCCTATGGATGTCCTTACCAGCACCACACTTTTTGTTGTAAATCCCTACATAACTAAGTACAGTTCTTTCCTCGTTTATAGATGCTAAGACTCAGGACTCATTTCCCCATCTCAAAACACCATGACAGCGGTGTTTCAAGCGCAGCTGTGGTCACTGGATAGAAATCAGGACTCAAATAAAGGAAATAATGTTACTCAATTACTATTAGACTGATGTTACATTTTAGTCCTATTTTTAAGAAGCATTGATCATATCATTAATGATAGTTATATGTTGATCCTTTTTTAGATTTTTAGAATGTAACTATGATGTAATTTAAATGAAAACAGAAGGGTTGTGATGATTTGAAACCCAATACGTTTGCATCTGTTCCTTTTTTTTGGACAAAGCGAATTGCAGCCATAACTCAAACTCACATGGGTGCTACACTGGAGGCAGGATCTTAATGTAAACGCAGTGACAAGTGATTAATCATTGTCATCTCATCTAAATAAAGATCAAATAGACTTTAATAAACGGTACATGATATTAAGACAGAATAATATTTATTTGCAATTTACGTTTTAGTAAAGAAAATATTCCACTGCTATAAGTCATACCGTTTTAAATCCTGATAATATTTTAGTATCTGCGCAGTTTAATGGGTTGTGACATTAATCGGAATTTAGAAAGGAAAAAAATTAGGTTTTAATTTAGACACACAGGGTTATTCACTGAAGTGTGAATTGTAGTGGGTTGAAAATAAAACTGCAGATTTTATTCGGAAATAGTTGATTCAGAAACATTTCCCAACCCAGCAATTTTTGCAGCCTGTTTTCACCTAAATTTTGCAATTCTTTTTTCAAATTACCATTGTTTGTAGTTTAGTAAATTAAGCCATGAAAAACAATCGGCATTATTGTCTTAAAAGTCAATTGTCAGTAATTCATAATGAACTTAAAATTGCAGCCCAAATTACTGAACTGACATAGATGATTCTGATTTTCTTCAAATTCATTTCACTTAGAATTGTTGGTAAATCACCCTTTTTTAACAAAGGCTAAAATACACATGTTGTGACTTTAGATAAATGTGAGAATTTCTATAGATTTTTAACATTTTTAACTGCATTTCTTTAATTCAGATTTCTGATACAGTTCAATGTTTAGTAAATACAACAAGCCCCTGAAAGACTGTAATTACAATCAGAACATTAAACTAGATTGCATTAAAACAATCTTTCAACTTATTGCAAAGTTTACCAATATTTCCAAACATAAGTTATATACGCCAGTTTAGTTCCCTTTATTATTAAATAAACCATGTATCACACCGAGTATGATATTTTGTTTGACTCAACATTTTATTATTTTTCCTTGAATATTGTTTTTTTAAATGTGCACATTTTCCCTGACAAAAAACACTTTTGAAATAAATAAATAAGTTACTTACCAAAGGATTTCTTAGAAATCTGGTTACAGTATGTGGCAAAGCGGTAGGGAAATATCCTCAGATAATTGTTTTTCAAACTGTAAGTCATCAGAAATAATATATGGTTGAACGCCAGAGCTCCATCAAAGCTAAATGTTTGATATAATGCTACGAATGTCTGTGAGTCTATTTTATAATTTATGCTGTTTACCAGGGGAGTTTAGTGCAAGGTCCCTAAAGTGCTGGAGTTTAGTGTAAAGTTGTTTCACCACAAAGGAAAAGAAAAGTAGTTACATTCCTAAAAGTTCCCTCAAACAAGTGATTCATGCAATGCACGAATATGCTCATTTTGATTACAACTGAACGCAGCTTTTTCCGCATCCTCTTGAGCCTTCTTCATGTAATTTTCTAGATTTTCCTCTTGTTGTCCTTCAGATAGCCACCTCCTGAGCTCTGTAATCTCTCTTTCTACAGATTCCCGGTACTGACCCCACTGAGCACGTTCTTGCTCCAGTCTGTGATGGAACTGCAGCTCATACTCACGCACTGTCTCTTTCATGATTGCTTGAAGAGACACTACTTCTTCTTGCCATTGCTTCTTCTCTTCATCTATGGCTTCCTGTTTGGTGTTCTCAGACACAGTGGCTATAGCCCTGATATGCTCTATGTCTTCTTGAGCTTGTGTTAACTGAAGACTGAGCTGAGCAATCTCTTCCTGAGCAGCCTGTACAGCAGCATGTTGCCGATTAATAGTACAGGTCCTGGGGCCATAAAATAGGGGGGATTACTTTTTTTTTTTTTTGGTGGAGGGCAAATAAGCAATAGTTTGCCACCATGAGCAAGAGGTCTGCCAGAGATTCTGCATCATTTGCAAGGGCAAGTAACACGAGTAATAGGAATTTGGATATAATATTACTTTAGCAGTATTGCAATTGTAAGAATAAAGAAAAAAAAGTATTGCAATTGTAGGGTTTTATACTTTTGTGGAGTGGGAGAGCTTGATTTCAGCACTCTCCACCAGCACTCAGCAGATAGATTACAACAACAAAGCATGCCAGGATGTATAAGAAGTTGGTTCTCAGTTTGTGGTAAGTGGTGCTTAAGAGGGTACTGGTAGGAACATGACAGGAGTATAAAAAGGGTTACAAGGAATATTAACATGGTCAAATTTGGAGTCATGCGCAGGAGGGGAGGAGATGAAAACAAAAATTAAATAAGTTACAAATAATGCATATAAGGTGAGGAAGTAGTACTTACAATATACATAAATACACAGAAATGCAGAACGCACAACATTGTGTGGATGATAATGAAAATGTTGATTGAAGCACTGTCTGCTGTTCTCCTTGTGTCCTCCTTGGTGACCTCTCTTGGTAAACTCCTATGATTCAGGGCACATATTGGAAGTTGGCAAGGGATGGATAGTGGCACACAGATGGAATGTGGCATGTGCTCTAGAGTTGAGCACACCCAACATTACTGTTTTTGGACCCCAGACCCAAACACGGACATATCACTGTATGTTCGGGTTGGAGTTTGGTGCTCGGCAGTTTAATGGCACGTTTTGAAAGGCTGCAGGGCAGCCAATCAACAAGCCTTTGACTCGTTTGCCCTTAGAAGCCATCACAGCCATGCCTACTTATGGCATGGCTGTGATTGGCCAGTGCAGCATGTGACCCAGCCTCTATATATAAGCTGGAGTCATGTAGCGCTGCACGCATATGATCTCTTATTAGTGTAGGGACAGGATGCTGCAACTGTGAGGGACAGCTTAGGAAAGAATTTTGGTGTTGAATCTGCAAACTACAGCGATTATTCATACTACAGCTATTATTTTAGTGGGTGCTATACTACTTTTTTGTACCTTGCCCTGAGCCCAGTTCCACAGATAGTGCAGCTCACTTGCAACTGCATGTATGCCAGGCAAATGATTTTAATCCTCTTCTGATAGCTCAGTGGGCAACATCTAGGCATTTTTAAATACTGCAATTTTTTGGGTGCTAAATAGTACATTTGCGTACTGCATTTCTTGCAATCTAATAAAACCCTTAAATACTACTGTTACATCGTTGGTTTAAAAAAATCACACTTTTTTGTGCTAAATAGTACATTTGCGTCCTGAGGTGCACTTCATATCTGAGAGTCAAATAGAACCGTCAAACACTGTGCTTACAGCGCACTTTTAAAAATGCAAATTGTTTTGGGTGCATTGTCGCCTGACATAAAACATTTGTTAGTTTGGTGGGTGAACGCAAAGAATGAGGAGAGCGTCAAATAAGGGATGTGGCCATGGTCGTGGTGCTGCTGGTGTTGGTGGAGCTCCTTTTGCAAGGAGAGGACATGGTCGATCTGTGCCAGCTACACGCACAAGTGAAACACCTTCCTCAGGTAAAAGTACACAACAGAACCTTCAGCGTTACATGGTAGGTCTGAATGCTGCTCTACGAATGGTTAGTCCAGAACAAGTACAGGCGATAATAGATTGGATGGCTGACAGTGCCTTCAGTTCCTTCACATTGTTTCCCACCTTGTCCCCTGCTGAAAGCTCAGAGTTGGCACCTGCAGCCCATGGCCATCTGTCTTTCACCTCACCCCCTTGCAAATCAGCCAAGCAGTCTGATCCACAAGTCATGCAGCAGTCTCTTATGCTTTTTGATGACTCTGCTGGAGAGGTTTCCATGGGCCATCCACCTAACCCTGCCCCAGAAGTGGAAGAGATTGAGTGCAATGATGCACAACCACTTATGTGTCAGGATGTGGACATGCAAAGGACCACCGCAGCACTTCTCTGATGATGACAAAACACAGGTGCCAACTACTGTGGCTTTCTGCAGTGTGCAGACCTGCAAGGAGGGCAGGGTTGAGGAGTGGGTGGAAGATTATGTGGAGGATGATGAGGTCCTAGACTCCACATGGAATCAAGGTCATGCGAGTGACGTGTGCCGTTTGGATGAAGAGGCGGTGGTCGCACAGAGGCACCAGCACAGCATAAGAGGGAGCAGGGTGCAAAAGCGGAGCGGCTGTCCCCTAGATGGTATGCCTGCTACTGCCCACCGCACCCAGGGACCAAGCACACAAAAGCCAGTTCCAAGGAGTTCCTTGGCGTGGCAGTTCTTCAGACAATGTGCTGACGACAAGACACGAGTGGTTTGCACGTTGTGCAATCAGAGCCTGAAGCGAGGCATAAACGTGCTAAACCTGAGCACAACGTGCATGACCAGGCATCTACATGCAAAGCACGAGCTGCAGTGGAGTAAGCACCTCAAAAACCAAGAAAGGTCTCAGGCTCCTCCTGCTTCCTCTTCTGCTGCTGTTTCTGCCTCTTCCTCCACCTCTGGAGTCACAGTGGCACCTACCACCCTGCAAACAGAGGATGTGGCAGCAACGCCACCATGTCCGCTACCGTCCCCAAGCATCTCCACACTGTCCCATGGAAGCGTTCAGCTGTCCATCTCCCAAACACTGGAGAGAAAGAGGAAGTACCCCCCTAGCCACCCCCGATCCCTGGCCCTGCCAGCATTTCAAAATTCGTGACCTTTGAAATGTTGTCATTCCATCTGGTGGAGACGGACAGTTTTAAAAACCTGATGGCGGTGGCTGTCCCACAGTACGTGGTTACCAGCCACCACTACTTTTCCAGGTGAGCCATTCCTTACCTGCACAACCAATTGGCGGACAAAATCAGGTGTGCACTGTGCAACGCCATCTGTGGCAAGGTCAATATAACCACAGATATGTGGACCAGTAAGCACGGGCAGGGACGCTATATCTCCCTAACTGCACACTGGGCAAATGTAGTGGCGGCTGGGCCTGAGGCGGATAGCAGTTTGGCGCATGTCCTTCTGCCACCGAGGATTGCAGGGCATTTCTCTTTGCCTCCTGTTGCCTCCTCCTCTTACTCCGCTTCCTCCTCCTCTACCACCACCTCATCCAGGCAGCGTAACACCTTCACCACCAACTTCAGCACAGCCAGGGGGAAACGACAGCAGGTTGTTTTAAAACTCATATGTTTGGCGGAAAGCCCCCACACCACGCAGGAGCTGTGGATGGGCATGGAACAACAGACCGATGAGTGGCTGTTGCCCGGCCTGGTGATGTGCGATAATGGGCGAAATCTCATAGCAGCTCTGGGCCTAGTCGGTTTGCTGCACGACCCTTGCCTGGTGCATGTGCTGAATTTGGTGGTGCAGAAATTCCTGAAAAACTACCCAGATATATCAGTGCTGCTGCAGAAAATGCGGGCCGCCTGTGCACGCATTTTGTGTTCTCACTCTGCTGCTGCTCACTTGTCTGCGCTGCAGCGTAACTTCGGCCTTCCCGCTTACCGCCTCATGAGACTGTGCGAGCAGCAGCAGGCAAAAGTGGAGTTTCAGCACGCACGGGTCTGCGGAACAGAGTTGTTGTTTTTTTATATGTCACAATATTTTGAGGGCTACCCCAATAAAAAAAAAAGAATTATATATAAAACAGTGTTGGCTACATCCTCCTCCACCGCTGTTTCCACCTACACCGCCACGGTCACCGCCTCCTCAACCTATGGGTCACTTAGTATAAACGATGTACACAATAGCAGAGGCTTGTGAAGGCCTTTTCTCCATGCATCAGGAGTTGAGCTCAGTTTGAACAATGAAAGAGAATACCCTGTGTGACGAGACCAATCTCGCCACTGTGCATTGGAGGAGCCTGGTTGCCTGCCTGCTGCCTTTTGACTATGGACCGGCATTTAAATACTTTATTTTCCTATGCAGAAAGGTCTATTCATGTATTTCTGCCCTGGCATTCGGTAGATTCTTGGATTTACTGAATGAACTCATTTAACCCAGATAGCTATGCCATGGAGCGTATTTGTGTAATAAAAGTCTTTGGCTCCATTGCAATTGAACTGTATGTGTGTGTGGTCTGAGCGCCATTCAGTATTAATGTGCGCTCAGACCTATATTTTATGTCATAAATGTAACCGTGTGTATTACATTAGACATTGTGTAAGGTAATTGTATCACAGGCAGAGGGGAGGATTTTGTGTGGGAGTGTCTGGCAGTGGCGTCGCTAGGGGGGGGCCAGAGGGGGCCATGGCCCCCCCTACATCATGCTGTGCCCCCCCTTGGGCCCCCCCAAATGCTGGCAACTAGCTGGCCATCTGCTTCCCTCGGACTGTCACAGCCCGAGGGAATGCAGTGCTGAGGTGCTGGAGGCTGTCTGTGGCCGGAGGGAGCACTGATTGGCTCCCCGGCACAGGCTCCGCCCCCAAACGAAGCCCCGCCTCCCTCCGATAAGCCCCGCCCCCGCCGTTATGCAGCCGCCCATGCTGCTGCTGAAGATGGCTGCCTGACCCCCACAGGTGACAGGTAGGCTGGGGGGGTGTACACACACATTGCCCCCATACAGCCTCCCATACACACACACTGTCCCCCATACTGCCCCTCCATAGACACACATTGCCCCCCCATAAACACACATTGACCCTCATACTGCCCCTATATACACACACACTGTCTCCCATACAGCCTCCCATACACACACACTGTCCCCCTACAGCTCTCCTATACACACACACTGTTCCCTATACTGCCTCTATAGACACACATTGCCTCTATACTGCCTCTATACACACACACTGTGTCTCTCTATACACACACACTGTGTCTCTCTATACACACACACTGTGTCTCTCTATACACACACACTGTGTCTCTCTATACACACACACTGTCTCTATACACACACACTGTCTCTATACACACACACTGTCTGTCTCTATACACACACACTGTCTGTCTCTATACACACACACTGTCTGTCTCTATACA